TCCTTCAAATAATTTATGAATCTTTTGAATAATGAATCTTTGATAACAAATGTTTAATTATTTGTAATCATAGCTAATTATAATATTAGTTACCAGGCACTGTTAAAAGTACTGGTGAGAAGTCTAAATGATAGTGCAGCAGGTAGGGCGCTTGCCTTGCATGGAGCTGACCTGGGTTTGATCCCCAGAATCCCACATTGACCCATTAGAAGTTATCCCTGAGCACAGAGCTAAGAGTAAGTCCTGAGCACCTGCTAGATATAGACAAAAAAATATAAATATGGTCTTAGATTGTGATTATAGTTTTGAACAATATAGACCAGGATATATCTCTCAGGAATTTGGCAGTAAATAGATAACTCTTTCAGTCAGCCTCTTTACCAATACCTACCCAATGAGCTCATCTTCAAAGTGATCATGGCAGCAGGGCTGGATGAACTCAACAATTTAGAGTTCTGCTCATTGAGACTGGCTTTATTAAAATCACTGCTGTGTGCTCATGCAACCATCTTCTTAAGGCCAGCACTAAGCCCCTAACTAGGTAGTATTCTCTTGAGAGGAGCTAGCCAGCCACTACAGGGTATATTCATTATACTTGACCCTTCTTTCGTGGAGAAGAGAAGGATGAAATTAAATATTTTGCAGATATATTTTTGTATTAAGAGATGCTGAGTTTAACACCATGGTATTCTGTACAGTATTTCCCTAAAAGGAGCCATTTTACTTAGAAAGAATTACAGTTATAAAGCCCCATACCTAAATATTTGTGATGTATGGGTCTTAACCACTTTCCCCATCATCTTGAAGTGGTGAATTGCAGTAATTGAGGGTGATTTACTGAGCACGTTTATATCCTGTAAATCTAGGATGCTGTCAAGGAGGGTTTGTATCAAGAGCCTGATTTAATACCTAGTACCACATGCTTGCCCTATTGAGTGAACCTTTAGGAGTGAACCCTGAGCACTATGCCAGGAGTAGCACCCAAGAATGATTGGGTGTAGCCTCTTAAAGAATGTATAACGGATTTAAAGAAATATATGCACCCCTTTATTCATTGTAGCATTTTTACAGTAACTAAAAATTGGAAATAGCCTAAGTGCCCATCAACAAATGATTGGATTAAAAATGTTATGGTATGAATATATACACAATATATACAATATTCAGCTTAAGAGAAATAAGACAGTCCTGCCATCTCCAACAATATGAATGTAGCTAGACAGTATTATGCTTAGTGAAATAAGTCAGAAAAATATAAAACATTCTAGGATCTCACTCATACTTGATATATAGAGAAACTAAAATGATGAAAGTAGACAAGACAAAAACAAACTTTCAGACTAAAGGTGGAATTAGTGATGACCAGAAGGTAAGGGAGATGAGATGAGGTAAAAGGGATTTATTGAACAGTGAAGGAGAGAATTGAACTTTTAGTGGTAATCCTAATGCAGAAATTATAAATGTCGAATTATAATGATGCATACTTAAGCAATAGCACAGCGGTAGGGTGTTTGCCTTGCACGCAGCCAACATGGCCGACCCGAGTTCGATTCCTCCGCCCCTCTCGGAGAGCCCGGCAAGCTACCGAGAGTATCTCGCCCGCACGGCAGAGCCTGGCAAGCTCCCCATGACGTATTCGATATGCCAAACACAGTAACAACAAAGTCTCCAATGGAGACGTTACTGGGCCCGCTCGAGCAAATCGATGAACAACAGGAGGACAGTGACAGTGATATCTTAAACTTAAATTAAAAATGCAGTGTTGGGGCTGGAGCGATAGAACAGTGGGTAGGACGTTTGCCTTGCATGCGGCCAGCCCAGGTTCAATTCCCAGCATCCCATGTGGTTCCCCAGCAACACCAGGAGTAATTCCTGAGTGCAGAGCCTTGAATAAACCCAGTGCATTGCCAGGTATGACCCAAAAAGCAGAAAAAAAAAATGAAGTGTTACTGAGAAGTCACTAAAGATTTACCAAGGTAGAGTTTTATTAGGGACTTTAATCAATGTGTTTTTGATGGAGGTAGGGAGATGAAAAAAATTAAAGTGGGCTAAATGGGAAAAAAAGCATATTGTTGGTCCCAATCATTCTGATTCAAAGTCTGTATGACCCAAGGAAATACTGGGATATGTGTACAAAGGTAGTCACATCAGTATTGTTTATAAAGCAAACTTGTTGTATATTGAAAGAAAAAAAGGTAAATTATAATTTATCATGCTGTAATAGTGAAAATGAATGGATATATATTCATGTCCATATATTACTTATATTAACATAGATAAGTCTTCTAAATATGTTGTTGAACAAAAACCAAGTCACAGGATACATGAGGTATATAATTCCCTAAATGTATAATGCATACAGAAAAATACTGTATTTGTTTCTAAAGGCTTCCATAACAAAATATTACAGACTAAATAGCTTAAACAACAAAAAACATTTTTTCTCAGTTTGATGTTTTAATTTTGGGCATCTGTACTTCTAGAAGATGTATAATTTTAGCTTTGATGTTTAGATATATAACTTTTTTTTCTTTTGGGCAATGCACAGGGGTTACTCCTGACTTATGGACTCAGGAATTATTCCTGGTGGTGCTCAGGGGACCATAAGGGAAGCTGGGAATTGAACTCTAGTCAGCCACATGCAAGGCAAATGCCCTACTTGCTGTGCTATTGCTCCAGATATATCACTTTTATAGTTAATTTTGGTTACAGCATAAGAATAAGGGTTAATTTTTGTACTATCATTTCTGACACTTTTTTTGGTGGGGTCTATATCTGGTGATGCTCAGGACTTAACTCCTGGCTCTGCAAGCAGGATTCACTCCTAGTGGGACTCTAGGGAAGGGTTCTGGGAATCAAACTTGGGTTGGCTGCAGACAAGGCAAGCTCCCTACCCCTGTACTATTTCTCTAGCCCTATTTCTAACACTAAAGCAATATTTTGGGACCATAGTTGGCAATGGTCTGGAGCGATAGCACAGTGGGCAGGGTGTTTGCCTTGCACACGGCCAATCCGAGTTCCATTCCTCCACCCCTCTCGGAGAGCCTGGAAAGCTACCGAGAGTAACTAGCCTGCACAGCAAAGCCTGGCAAGCTACCCGTGACATATTAGATATGCCAAAAATAGTAACAACAAGTCTCACAATTTGTTGTGAGATGTTACTGGTGCCCACTCGAGCAAATCGATGAGCAATGGGAGGACAGTGCTACAGTGCTACTTGGCAGTGCTCAGTATTGCTCTTAGTTTAATGCTTTGAGGCCACTCCTGATGGTGCTCAGGGACTAAATAGCACCAGTACCAAGGATTAACTCTGGGCCTCCAGCATGCAAAGAATGTGTTTCAACTCTTTGATCTATGTCCCTAACCTCTCCCTACATTTTTGTTTGTATTTTGTTTTTCTTGGGGCCATATCTGGTGGTGTTCAGGACTTACTCCTTGCTCAAGGATAACTCCTGGAGGGCTCGAGGAACTATCTCTAGGATTGAACCCAGATCAGTTGTGTGTAAGGCAAGAGTCTTACCAGCTGTACTATCTTTCCTGCCCTATGTTCTGTTGAGATTGATTGTCCTTTCAACATTCAGTTATCTTGGAAATTTTGTTGAAGATTACTTGTCCTTGAATGTTTGGATCTACTTATGGACTCTCTGTTCTTTTCCATTAATGGCTATGTCTTCTGTAGCAGTAGCACACATTGCACTGTTTTGCTTACCAAAGCTTTATAATAAAGCTTGAATCAGGTAGTGTAATATCTCTGTTTTCTTTTCCTTTTCAGAATTATCTGGACTCTTCTGTGTCTGTCTATATAAGGTTTAGTATAAGCTTGTCAGTGTTTTAAAAAAATCCTGCCAAGACTTTAATTATATTTGCATAGAATCTTTAGATCATGTAGGATGGAATTCTCCATCCTAACAATTTAAATCTTCCTATTTGTAAATGAGTATATTAGGTCCTGATTTAACCTTTAGCAGTTTTTATTATCCAGATGTTGAAAATATGTTGTTTGCATGGATTTTGTTACTTTAGTGCAGTTGTAACAGTTTTAAATTCAGGCTCTAGTTTCCCATTGTCAGGATTTGAAAATAGAGTTAGCTTTTGTATACTGCTCTAATAAACGAATTTACAAGTTCCAAAAAGTTTTTCAGGATGCCTTAAGATTTCTTTTATACACAGTTACACAGTCTATAAGCAAAGAGCTTAAATTTTTCTTTCTTATTAATATTAATGTGTTCCAGTTGTACTTTATCTCTTATTCCATTGGCTAGTAATATTGAATAAGATTTGTATAGTCTTGAACACAAGTGTTAAGAGAAAGCACACTTGGCTATGTTCTCTTATTCTAAGGAGAAAGGTGTTCACTAAGTATGAGGCTGCTGTTTTTACTTTGCTTTTTTGTAGTGCTTACTTTATATATAAAATATATTTGTATTTAAACACACAATCTAATCTTCTCATTTGTTTTTGTTTTATATTCTGCATTTGTTTCATCCTTTTGTACCTAATTTTTTATCACTGAGATTTTTGTTTTTGTCAGTTTATTGATTATGTATCCTTTTGTTATTTAATGTTGCCCTGCAGCAACCCTTATCAAATGGCACCTTGGGATTTTCAGGTTTTTCCCTTGAAACTGATCTGTGCTGTGTTTGTTAGCTCTTTAGCCCACACTTAATGATTGCTAAAATTCATTAATGATTCTGCCTAGTTTACCTTTCAAGTTTAATTTAGTGATTTTTTTAAACTTTTATTGAATCACTGTGAGATAGACCCTTACAAAGTTGTTCATGATTGGATATCACTCATAGAGTATTCCAGTACCCATCCCTCCACTAGTGTACATTTCCCAGCACCAATGTCCCGAGGTTCCCTCCCATCACCCCCCACCCCCATCCCTTTTGGAGAACTTCCATAATGTGATGTTATTTTACTAGTAAATATTGAGTTATTTTCTTTAGAATTTATAGCATAAAGAACACAGTCCATTTGGATTCTATTTATTGTTCCAGATGGTGAGACTAGCACCAGAATTGGAGAGTCAACTTCAGGGGAGGAAATTACAGTAAAATCTGAACCATTGACTCAAGAATCTGGCAACCCTAGAGATGGTATTCCCCAGGATTCAGAATGCAAAGAATTCTGTGGATTAATGGATAAATTAAATGAAAATGATCAAAACCACTTTAAAAGAACACAGTATAGCTGTAATGAATGTGGGCAAAGCTTTGCTTGGAATACAGAACTTATAAGACATCGAAGAACCCATCAGGAGAAACCCTATAAATGTGACAAATGTAGAAAGGCATTTAGTGTAAGCTCAGCTCTGATTCTTCATCAAAGAATTCATACTGATGAAAAACCCTATCCTTGTAGATGGTGTATTAAATGTTTCAGTAGGAACTCAGACCTTATTAAACATCAAAGAGTTCACACAGGTGAAAAACCTTTTAAATGTGATGAATGTGGGAAAGCTTTTAGTCAGAGCTCAGATCTTACTATACATCAGAGAATCCATACAGGAGAAAAACCCTATCAGTGCAATCATTGTAGTAAAAGTTTTAGCCAGCGCTCAGATCTGATTAAACATCAGAGAATTCATACCGGAGAGAAGCCTTATAGATGTAACGAGTGTAACAGACATTTTAGTCAGAGTTCCGATGTTATAAAACATCAAAGAATACACACTGGTGAAAAACCATACAAATGTAATGTGTGTGGAAAAGCCTTCTGTCAGAGTTCAGATCTTATTCTGCATCAGAGAATCCACACTGGAGAGAAACCATATCCATGTAATCAGTGTAGCAAAAGTTTCAGTCAGAACTCAGATCTTGTTAAACATCAAAGGATCCACACTGGAGAGAAACCCTATAAGTGTAATGAATGTGAAAAAGCTTTTAATCAGAGCTCAGTCCTTATTCTGCATCAGAGAATTCACACTGGAGAGAGACCTTACCCATGTAACCAGTGTGACAAAACCTTCAGTAGACTTTCAGATCTAATTAATCACAAACGAATGCACACTGGAGAGAAGCCTTATTCATGTAAGCACTGCAGTAAAGTGTTTAGTCGACGATCAGATCTTGTTAAGCATCATAGAATTCACACAGGTGAGAAACCCTACAAATGTGATGAGTGTGGAAAATCCTTCAGTCAGAGTTCAAGCCTTATTCTTCATCAGAGAATCCACACTGGAGAGAAACCTTATCCTTGTAGTGTGTGTATTAAGAGTTTTAGTCGTCGTTCAGACCTTGTCAAACATAACAGAATCCACACTGGGGAGAAGCCATATGTATGTAATCAGTGCAATAAAAGCTTTAGTCAGAGCTCAGACCTTACCAAACACCGGAGAATTCACTCTGGGGAAAAACCCTGTCATTGTGATAGTTGTGACAAAGTCTTCAGTCAGATCTCTGACTTTGCTCTTCATCAGAGAACTCACACGGGAGAAAAACCAGATACCTGCACAGAGCAGTAAAAGTTTCAGAACTCCAACTTTATCAGACTTTAGCAAGTAAGTTCTCACTAGGGGAAATACAACTGTAATGGGTGTGAGAAGGCTCTCAGTCAATTCTCAGCTCTTATCCTGCATCAAAGAAGCCACATTGGAGAGAAACCTTACCCATACAAGTGTTTATACTAAGGGTTTTAGTCGTTATTTAGACCTTGCCAAACATCACAAAATCTACCCTGGGGAGAAACTGTATGCATGGAATCAGTGCAATAAAAGTTTCAGTCAGAGCTCAGATCTTATCACACACCAGAGAATGTACTCTGGGGAAAACCCTATCATTGTGATAGTTGTGTCCTCAGAGTTTTGACCTTATTCTTCATCAGAGAATTCACTCAGGAGAAAAAAAAACAGATTCCTGCACACGGTGCAGCAAAAGTTTTCATCAGAACTCAGACCTTATCAAACACCAGCGAGTCCACACTGGGAGAAAAAAACCTTACAAATACAATGAGTGGGGGAATGCACTCAGCCAGTGCTTTTAGCTCTTATCCTGCGTCAGAGGAGCCATGCTGGGGAGAAGTTATATCTGTGTGGTCAGTGTGGCAAAAGCTTTAGTCAACATTGAGATGTCATTAGCCCTCAAAGAATCCACACTGGTGAATGGCCGTATGAATGTAACTCACCTGGGAGAGTTTCAGCACATGCACTGATCTTACAGAACACAAGAGAATCCAATTGGAGCCAGAACCCTACATGTGTGTTCAGTGCAGCAGAGCTGAAATTTTAGCCAACTCTCTGGTCTTATTATTTGAGAATGAATGAGAAAATTCATTCTGGGGAACACAGTACGGATATGCTGAATGTAGGAAAACCTTTCGTTTTTGCACAAAGTTCATTCAGTAACAAATAAGGCTGCTATTAGTGATTTAGAAAAAGGTTTTAATCAATGCTCAGCTCCTGTGAAAATTTAAAAACCACTGCATAGTAAACAATTCAATTTTACACAAAGATTAAGAACTTAGATATTGATATAATTAAGCTTAAGAAAAAATCTGATGTGCTCGCTTTGGCAGCTTTAGTTCCAATATACTAAAATTGGATTGATACAGAGAAGCTTAGCATGGCCCCTGTGCAAGAATAACATGCAAATTTGTGACGCATTCCATATTTTTTTAAAAAATTCAGACAATATTATGATCTTTATTTTTTAAATAAATAAAAACTTTATTTTTCAAAATGTCTGAGGATAAATCTTATAATTTGTGGGAACACCTTCAATGGGAATAAAATTTTTACTAAATATAGGCAATAGCAAAATTCCTATCTGCTATGATGTAAGAAAAACTCTACTTTTCAAACAATTCACAAGTGGGGAATTGTAAGAAATTTGTAACTATTAATGCAGAAGTTTATCTGATATTATAAAAATAGTAGGTTGTGTAATCAGAATTCAGGAGGATATGTATGAGTGCCATAATCTCAAACTTTCATGAGTCCATATTTTTGTATATGAAATGTTATTTATTTTTTATTTTAAATTTTATTTTCAGAAGTTTGTTCAAATTGATTACGTTCAGTATTTCAACATCAATCCCACTACCATTACACCTTTCCACCACAATTACACCTTCCCACCACCATTATTTTGAATTTTCCCAGCACCATTCAAGCCTGCCTGTGAGGAGCAGATGCTAGATACTTTATTTTTTGTTGCTTATAAAGAATATCATGAGAGGTTGTGTGGCTGCAATAGTGGCCACGTGCTTCTTGAGTTCTAAAATTGTAAATGGTTGGGGTCCAGAGACATTTTTGTAGGGAGCTCTGTTGGCAGATCACGGGCGTGACAGCCAGGACCCCAAGCGGGTGGGGAGACAGGAAGGGACAGCCCATCTCTGCTGCTGCCATGTGGCCTGGAGTCATAGTCCTTGAACCTGTGTACTAGGTTTTGCTTCTGGAATTTCGTGGCCACCGGGGTTTCATCTGAAGTGGGCAGAGAGCATACTCACTCCATCTGAGGTGCCCCTGTGGAATTGACTTAGTACAGGGTTCAGAGAGATCTCTGGTGAGCTGCTGTCTTCCGAGATTCATGTGGCTGTGTCTCTCGATGAAGGCCATTGATGCACTGAGATGGCCATGGAATGTTATTTTAGAGAGAGTATGGAAAATTTTAAACTCTTCCATATCTTAATTGGCATTTATTCTGCTATTACACTTATTTCCAGATAGCTGCAGAATTGTACATTAGGTTCATGCTAGTTATTTATTAAATTTCCTGTGTATAAGCAAGGTAAACGCTTCTGATACTAAACTTATGAACACATAACTATAGTACTCCATTTTCCCAAAAATATTTTGTTTTTCTCATCATGAGTTTTCAGGACACTGGATTTTTATCCTCAGGGCTAAGGTGCTAACCCCTGAGAGCTAAGTAGCTAGCTTTGAGGTTTGGAGTCCATGCCTGCCACGTGGAGATTCCAGTAGACTCATCCCACATGGTCCCTGTGGTGGCCCCCGGCACCACTGATCCCCAGTATCACTGAGCCCAGGAATTTCTGGCTAGCACAGCTGAGCTAAGTGTCACCAAGACAAGTGTGTTCACCTGGGCACAGCCTGGGAGTCCTCCTCCCACAAAAAAAGATGGGAGTCACCAATTTGAATGATTTCAAATATCACTTCAGTGTTACTATTTAATCACAGCGTGTAAAATATGGGAAATAATTTTTTTATTTCATATGTCAAAGTGTGAAGATATCTTTATCTTTATGTCTATACTTGAGACAAAAATGATAGCTAATCTCATACTCAGATGAGTTTTGAATTTTTTAACACCTAAAAAATGAAAATACCAATTGTCTCTTTTTATTCAAGTGGTAACATTTATCAGACTTCTGACATGAATATTAATGATATGCTACATATATGTAAACTTTTCAACAAACATTAGAAAAGTTGTAAAAGAAAAACTTTATAAATTATTGTTCTTTGACCATTTGTTAAAGCTCTCCTATTATCAGTCACTTTGAACATTCTTCTTAATTATACAATTAACAATTCACTTTAACAGACATTTTAAATTACCACATCAAAGGCACTTTTTTAGGTTCTATAGTAGACACAAAGAAATGCTGTCCAACAACGAATGTAATTAATGTTGAAGAATGGGAATAGAGACACAAAGATGGAGAGGGAGTAGTTAACAAAGGTGCAGGGGGGAAAAAAAGGAAAACAAAAAGTTGTTTGGAACCTTTTCTTTGGGCCTTACTCCACAGTGCTCAGGGGCTATGCCTAGCCTGTAATCAAGAGTTGCTCTTGGTAGTGCTGAGGGAACTATATGGTGCCAAGTTCAAACCCAGGACTACCACATGCAAAGCAAGTGCTCAGCTTGTTGAATTCTCTCTGGTGCCTGAAGTCAGGACATTTTTTAAAGGATGAGGGATGGTACTTAATGATTGATTCAGCATGTATTTAGGGTGCCTGCATGTAGGTGAAAACATTTATAAAAGTAATGGCAAACATACGTTAAAAGAATTAGGTGGAGATAAGAATAAAGTATGGGAAAGTCTGTTAAAGGACTATGGTACAAGAACATGCACTTAAATTTGGGGGGTTTGGCCCATCTGTAAAACTGTTCAGTACTAGATCTAGTTGAAATAAAGTTTTATATTTGCATTTATTTTTGCATTTTATTCTTAAGGTAGTAGTAAGTCATTAAAATCTTTGAACTAGACTATTGCATAATCGTCTTGAGAGTCTAAAAGAAGGATAGCAGAAAGGAAAGCTATTTTGAAGTCTGGAAATAAGATGAAGTCCGAAAGTAGAGCAGCTAACAGATATTGGCATGATCATTGGCTGAGATGTGAGTAGGGAGAAGTGTGTAATTAATGTCTATTCTTGGGGAATTTAAGATGTGAACAAGGAAAATAAGATGATTATATATCTGAAGTTTATCTCTCCTGAGAAGAAAATGTTAGGAGCCAACTGCTCAACTGCTAACCATATAAACTTACATCTAATGTCTTGCAGGTAAGCTTAATTTGTGAACTTACACATACACACACACACACACACACACACACAGAGGGACACACATACTCCTTAGAAGTTACAAAAGTAACACAGTATTGTAAAAATTAAGAGAGTAAAGTATCTGAGTAAAATGGGAATGGAAATGCTGATAACTGAGTCTCACATACTAGTTTATTCCCATTTGCTGATTCTTTAACTGACAAGAGCATAAAGCCAAGCAGTCTAGAGAAGAACACCGGGAAGTTAAGTGGAACTCAGCAGACTCACTGTGATAGGAACTTAAAAAGGAAATAAGAATTAGAACATAAGACATGCCAAGAATTGTTTTTGTGAAGACCCTACAGTCTTGGTATAAATATTAAAAGGCCATACTCAGAGCCAGAGAGTTGGTACAGCAGGTAGGGCTCTTGCCTTGCATGCAGTTTACCCAGGTTTGATAGCCTGCACCCCATATGATCCCTCAGACCCTTCTAGGAGTAATGACTGAGTGTTAAGTCCTGGGTAACCCCTACGCAATGATAGGTACCTCCACCCACCAAAAATGGATTTACTCTAGGAGTAGCATTAGAATAAAATGTGTGTAGACCAAGTCTAACATCTGAAACACCCTCTAGTCAAGTCTGCACCTAATCTAGCCGCCATTTAGAGAGGAAAGGGTGAATACTCTCTGGAGAATAACAGCTAGATCCAGAGACTAAATTTTTAAGCACAATATCCAGTATTCAATTTAAAAAAAGTCCAAGCCAGGGATCTGGCTCAGTGGTAGTGGTTTACTGCACACACACCTGGGCTCCGCCCAGCACCACATCTAGATACACCACTAAGAGCATCAGCATGTGGCTTGCATTTCCTGCACATGATCCCCAGGGACCACTGAATACTGTCCCAGTGGCCCCTGGTTGTTAGTCCTGAGCACCACCAGAGTGACTCTGTCCCCTGAAGGGGTAGGGGGCCCATAACACCAATAAAAATTACCAGTTAGCTGTGTGTTCAAAAAATAGAGTGACATGGTGGTGTGGTCTCTCGCCTGCCACGTGCATTTTGGTGGCCATGAGCCGCTTTCCCACCCCGGACTGCAGCTTCTGCCAACAAATGGATGAAGGAGAAAATGGGGCCGCCAGGCTGGTTGGTGATCAGCCGCAGTTTACTCCAGTCTCATCTCCCTCTGCCTCCTTTCAGTCTCACCTGCTCTTGTATTCCTCCTGTTCCCCATATTACTCTCCTCTCTCTGCACTCAGTCCTGCCGCCTTGGTCTAGACCCCAACCTCCAAGCATCGGGGTAGCAACTACACTTAGGTCAGATAGCACAATCAGTATATGTAAAGCCCTTCTCCCTTTCGGGGGAATTTCTTCTAGGACAAAGATCCGCTGCTAAGAGATCCACTCAAGGGCAGAATTTCTTCTAGGGGTGCGTTTCTCCTTTCCTTAGTCCAACAACCATTTAAACATTTATCTTAATTCTATTTCTTAAGAATAGTCATTTTGTATGGACACAGAGATATATTAATAAGCTTGTAGGGTGGCTCTCTTGGGAACCTCTTGCTATAGATCCCAGACTACAGTGCTCAGGCCAGATTAGTCTTTCCTAACCCTAGCAGAAAAACAGCCCGGCGGGGAGTCTGATGGCATGGTTATGGGGGCCTCATTTTATACTCCCATCTGGGAGGAGCAGCCGTGAGCTCTGGAGGGTGGCCAATAAGGAGATTATCTGGTGCTGGCAGGTGTGGCTTATGGGTGTGATCCCTGGGTCACCGGAGACTGAGGGAAGCAGGCAGAGGATCTCTGTTCCCAGATCCCCTGAGTACAGATTCCAAGGTCACAAAGTTCTACATTACCTGGGTTCCGTGGGACTTCATTCATGCATGAGGCTTAGCCCTAGCCTCTGGAAAGCGGCCTGAAGCAGTGCGTTTGGGTAGTAGAGGTCGGCTTCTGGGGCTGGGTCCCTTGGGGTGGGGAGGGTCTGTGCCAGGCTGTTTTCACTTGGGGCGCCCCAGACTGGGGTGGGTGAGACCCCTGCCCTGGCAGCTGACCTCCACTACCCTACCGCCACCATGCTCCAGGCCGCTTTCCGACACATTATATGACATTTTCTACCCATTTTCCATAATTTCCACACCATATTTTCCACACCAGGGTTCAGACAATA